GGATGTGAAGGGTTGTTTAGGAAATTGGAACTTTTGAAGATGCTTGAACCTCTGGTTTCCATAGTTTGGGCCCTTCTCCGCCCGCGCACGGCGGGAGCTTAGTGCACCGGGTGAAACTTGGTTGACAAAAAGTAAGTCAAGACTTACAAGGAGGGATCATATGCTACTCCCTTGGGGAAAGATTAAGACTTGAAACACATAACCTTGGGGATAAAGACATGCTATTTCACTTATTTATACTAGACTAGATTGGTGATGATGTATTTTATTTCCTAAACTTCAAACCTTATGATTCTTTGTTTTGGAAATTAAACAGATTCTCACTTGAATGTGGACAATGAAGGAGAAGAAGATGTTAGAACTTGGTTCCCTTGCCCTTTCTGTTATGTCGAAATTGAAGTGCCAATGCTTTGCTGCCATTTGCAAGATGAGCATTGCTTCGACTTAAAAAACGCGGTAATGTCAAGTGATGCTTCCTTACATTACATCCTTTTAACATATATTTCTCTTATGTTATATGCAAAATGAAGTGTAAGACTGCACTACTATACTTGAAACTTTTCAATCTTTTCTATGTATTTGTACTGAAGATCTGTATGAATTGATCAATCTACTTGACGTTTCTAATTCCAGGTCTGTCCCATATGTGCTGCAAGTTTGGGAAAAGATCCTATTATACATTTTTCTGTACAACACGCACAGTCAGTTAAGGTAAACATATTTCACCTTTGGAATATATAATTTTGACTATAAAAGATATCAATTAACTTTGCTCCCTACCTCATTTCCAGAGAAGGAGAAAATACCTAAAATGTGGCTACTGGGATAATGCCATAGCTATGATGGGTAAGGATCTTCAACATATAACTTCGTATTTTGAGATAAATTCGGGGGTTGGTCGGTACAAAGGGCACGAACCTGCTTCTGATCCACTTCTATTGCCATTTCTCTGCAATGTGCCTCCTACTGATACCGAAAGCAGGTGCCAAGACAAGTCTTCTGTTTCTGAAATAGAAAGGTACTAGTCTAATGAACTTTCTTTTGATGCACCTGCATATAATTTATTTATTCATTCGTTCTCTTTTTTACATGGAAGTTTCCTCATAAAACAAAATGGAGTAAATGCTAAACCTGAAAGTTAATACCCGAGTAAATGTGAAATTTTTGTATTCGTTGTCACTATAACCAACAATAAAATTTCTCAACCCAAAGCCAAGCTATATATCCTATTAAGTTTTTCTGTTCAGCTACTGCTTTTGGTGATTCATCAGCTAAAAAACTTGGGCTTCCTCTCTTTGCTAGTGGTGAGTTAGTTTGTCGAATTGTCGTACATATGTATTAGAATTCTCTCTCTGCCTTTTGGGATAAGAATCAGAATTCAGGGCAGTCTCTGTTTGTTCGCCTAGATGAACAATGATTCGAATATTTAGGGCCAACTTTTGTGTATGCACTGACACTTAGAATGAACAATCAGACAGTTAATTATATGCTTCCATCTTCTTATGAACAAAACTATAGTTGTTTCGTAAATTGCTTATTTTCAACAGGTATGAGACATGCTCTCTAGAACTCTGAGGTACTAACGAGTGTCAACAGCTGTGGTTGTACATGTCTTTGATATTTCTTTTTCTCCCCTTTGTCATCTCTAACCTGCCACACTCCCGCCAAAAGGATTTTTTTTCGCACTGATGGTGTAAGGATTATATAGACAATCAAGCAGATAACTTCATTTTAATTAGCAATATGGCAAATAACTTAGAACTATGTTGCCTGGGCTCTCCGGGAATGTCGCTGGGTGCATGTCGGATCCTCCAAAAGTTGTGTATTTTTGGAGGATCCACACGGGTGCGGCATCATATACATAAGTAGTAAGCAATATTAATACACTGTCAGTACTTAAATAAAATGGTTATAAAGGAAGTGGTGCTAAGTTAACAGTAGAATCTGTTCTCTTCTGCAGCAGGAAGCTGCTTGTATCTAATCCAGCAGTGGAAGAGGATTCTGAAGAGAAGAGGCAGAGAGCTGCATTCCTTCAAGAGCTTATTGCGTCAACTATCTTCTAGAAAATCATCCAATTTTTGAAAAAGAATCTCATTCAGACTTAACTAGCTAGCAAAATAGTAATGTAATGTAATACAAGATTATAACATTTCAAAGTAATTAATGTCTAGATAGGCACTTCAGAGTTGAAGTATGTTGTTGCATTTCATTTGTCTTTGATGACCAACTTGTTTATTGTTACAGCAAATTTTCACAAACCACTATTGTTTAGTGGTTATTAGCCAGCTGTAGCTATCATTTACTATATTACTTCCTATAACTATGTTTTCAGTTTTTCTAGAGTGTATTCGATGTATTTAAGCTATTGTGTTCATGAATACAGTAGCAAAACTCGGCGTGAAACAGGGGAATACAACTAGGCAATTATTGTATTCGACTGTATTCACGATATGTATTTGTGAATACAGTAACGTAAATAGTGTAAATCGTGGTCTATTCGGTTGTTTTTAAACGGAAAGTGAATCAATTAACACAAATAGACTCCTAATATAACTCAACAAACTCAATTATAAATCTGAATACATAAATACATTTGAATACATAAATTATATTAATTAAAAAAAACATATGAATACATTCATGGAATATAGCAAGATAGTGATTACAAGTAAATACATGGAATACAGCGAGATACATCGAAATACAATGAAAAAAAGACAATGAATACAATGAAATACATAGAATACATCGAGATACATTGAAATACAACGAAAAAAAAGGTAACAGACTCTTCAAGTTGCTCAGGCCCAAACTCCGTCGTCTCTGTTCAAGAATAACCCTAATATCGTCTCGTCGACAGCAGATTTCGAACCTCCATTGTCAGTCCCAATTTACCCTATGTCAGATTTTGACATTGATACCAACATAATGAAAGTACAAGGGGGGGGGGGGGGAATTATTGACTTATTAAAATTTGGTCGACTAATATAAGTATTAGCTGACTAACCACAAGACATAATGAGTGAAAGCAGTAAAGAGAAATAGTAAGGCACACACGATTTATACTGGTTCGGTACCGTTGTGGTTACATCCAGTTTCCCTTGGGTCACAAGGGTTCCCTTAAGATCTTTGAACAAAGTTACAATATTGATGGTTTTTTTTTTCGTTTACCATCAACGTACATAATCAACACTTGAGTTCTACTCAGTTGACACAACTTTCTTTTGTACTCTAGATCTCTCTATCTTTTGAGACACCGATAACTCACAATTACAGTGTTGGAACTAAGAAGTAGACAGATTTGGAATACAGTTTGTGTAGTTGCGTGATCTTCTTCTTGAGAGAGCATCCTTCTTATAGAATAGAAAAGAGCCGTTGAGTCCTTTTTGAAATTGGAGGCACAGGATCTTTAATTAAGGGATTTGACCCAAGGGGTGCCTCTTTGAATCTTGCTCTTTGACTGGCCCAGATTCGAATGTGACCTTCCTTGTCACAGCTGAATTCAAGGAGAGATTAATTCGCAAGCGCGATCCTCAAAACTGGAGTGACCATGATTGGCAATCAAAGATCCCTTGATTGAGGATGAGTCAATCTGCTTCTTGATTTATCATTGATGCAGTAACCGAATCTTCATTCTTTCCTTATTTTGAATCCAGTAGCAATCAATCTACTTCTTGATTGATCATTAATACAGAAACTGAATCTTCATTCTTTCCTTATTTTGAATCCAGTAGCAATCACTACAAAAAAACGGGTAAATTGCGGAGGTTAAAATTGCAGTTTGCGGAGGGTAGTAACCTCCGCTATTTGCTGTCACGACGGTTGAGCAAGCTCCCGCAGTATGCATCGCCGCTATTAATTTGCGGCAGACAAATGCGGGGGTTTCCTGAACCGCCGTGACAGCAAATAGCGGGGGTTCCTACCACTCCGCAAACCTGCAATTTAACCTCGCAATTTCAATGAGCGAAAATTAGATTTATTTTAAAATTATTATTGTTTTTGAGTGTAGGGGTTGTGAACCCCCGCAATCTGTAATTTCTTTTTGGGGGTTATATCCCCATCTATTTTTAAATATATTATAGAATTGATTTTTATTTTGCCATATTTTTCCTCTAATATCAATTAAATATTTATGCTCAAACCAAAATATTAAAATTAAGAAACATCAACATTTCGTTAACCGTGAAAAATACTATTACACAGTAGTATCATATGTCTTCAAACTAAATTAGAACATAGTTAACCATCTATATCAGTGATCATCTATTACATTGTCCTAATACATCCACTTCAATTAAAATGAAACTCAATGGTTGTCACTGGGATTACTTCCGCCAGAAGATCTTCTTGCATCCGTCGGTGAAACGGGTCCACTAGCTGCATCACTTGGCTGCAGCAAAAAGTAAAAAAAAAATATAACTATTAAGAGTATCAGGAAACAAGTCATTGGGATAAAATAAAATTATCTCAATGAGAAATAAAATACACTTTGCCACTTGGAGATATTACTTGAAGTTTCATTGAGTCTTCTTGTGCCAAAGACATTACTTATGAGAAATTTGTCATAGATCATACTGTGGAATTCTATTTTAGGATTCTATCATGTAACTACTCTATATTAAGATTCTATACAAGTTCTTTCTACTAGTGAAAAAGCTAACTCAAAGAGTTTAAGTTTTTTTCCAAATACAAACAGATAAAAAAAACTTGGTATTATTCAAATCTCAGAAGTTTTCAGATTGTTCCAAAAGAACAAAAGTAAGAATAAGTGTATAGCCAAACAACAAACAAAAACACAAACATTTGAATCTTAAAAACACAAAGAAAAAACAAAGAACCTAAGACTTATTTCAAACTTGTGAAGATTTTGTTGGCTTTGTATCACAGCTAAGATTTCTGACGAGGAGAGATTAGCAGCTGCTAGCTGGAGAAAAGTTTGTGTGATTTAAAAAGAAAACACCAAAAAAAGACCATGAAAGCAAAAGATCTGACATGTTTAGAGTAGTATTCATAACACAAGTCAGATTTGGTCCCTAAGAGGAAAATTCAAGTTACATTTACATTTCTACATTGTAATATTCTTGCCATTTCTACATGTCAAATTTAAAACGTGAAGGAATGAGTACATGATTAAATTGGAAAGGATTCTATGCAGCAATCTGATTACATATTCATTGTGGTTCTCCAACTTGTTAGGTGGAAAAGGATAGACAAATTGTTGATTTTTCACAGTGACTATGGATTCCCAAAACTTCAAAGTCGCACCAGTTATCATAGTGACTCTTAGCACTTCACAAATGAAAAATAAAATTGCACAATACACCAAAAATAAAAGAACTAAGCATTTACCGTTGTAGGAGAAGAAGCAAAGATCCCAGCAAATTGTTCTGGTATTGAACCTTCCTTCATTATCATATATTCTTTGAGAGTACTCATCAATTGATTGTACTTCTCTTGGCATCCAGAAGAAGAACATCCAACATTATTACTCACAATTCTAATATTACCAAGACGAAGATTTGTCTCTTTGAAAGTATTGCTTGGAGTAGCTCCTAATCCCAAACATCTCACCCTTCCAGGATGCTCTTTGCCTAGCACCTTACCAACAACATCATTTGGAGAAATTTCAGACTCATCCACCGTACTTTCACTCACGGCTAGCTCAATTTTTTCCTAAACACAATACACATCAAAAAAATCTGAGCCTACTGTTCTTTGTGCAAGAACACCAGTTATAGCCAGGGAAGTAATTAAGTGTGGGAAAAGGACAGGAAACAGACCAAGAAAAAAGAAGAGGACGGGAAACAGACCAAGAAAAACATACTAGTATTTAACTAAGAACAAAACAAAATGGAAGGACTTCATTTTGTAAACTATCTGCTACTCTAGCAAGAATATTTATGTCCTGTGCTAATGGTGTATTCTCTGCATCATATTAATCACAGATAGAATGACTTTAAGGATGAAATAACCGACTAACAAGATATCCCCAAACAATATGGAAACAGAATTTAACAGCAACTAAGAAAAATACATAGTGTGTATTGTGTAACTCGTACAGGCTATCAGTCACACGATTGTCTTCATCTAAGTTATTTCAGCCTCAGTTGTTGCATTCATGGTCCCTCTGAAAAGGGACAAACTAAGCTCTTAACATAGATTACTGCCTCTAGAAATGGAGCAAAGTTAGTAATATCTAGAAATCTGATCGAATCATCCTTTGGACTGGAATTCATAAAACGTGGTCCAAACTTGAGCAAAATTTCACCTTCATTTGACATTAAAATAGGTCGACAAAATATCTTTCCCATGGAATCAACAGGAGACTTGACGATAAACATATTTGTCCAACTGGGTCTTAATAGATTCAGGGCCTACTGATGATGGATATAGTTGGAGAAAGTATGGACAAAAAGACATTCTTGGTTATTGTAACTTACACATATTTCTTTTGCCTCCTCATTTACATATGATCCATCTTTTTTCGTATGTGTAGCAAGATAAAGTTGTGCTCGTCCAGGCTTACTTCCTGTCTCAGCCATCTATGCATGAAAACAAAAATAAGTCAGAATAGTTTAATTAAAGTAAAAGAAATAGATACAATATCTAAAATTTAAATAGTAAAGTAAGGTAAATAATGTGACATCTTTCACCATTTCAGCCCTTCTTCTAGAATTAGGTTTGGAGCTACCGGTGTGTGGAACTGTTTGCTTCTTCCGATTTTCAGCATTTCTTTTACACATGTTCTAACAATAAGATACATTTCAGTCAATTATATAAATAAATACTCATATTTATATGCATTTCAATGTGACGTTTCAGAAAAATACCTGAGTTTCTTCTTTACAACGGTAGTTCACAAAGATAGTCCATTGATCCCGACTAATACCTATCGGAACATTATCCATAATCTCATCTTTGGTTTTAAGTGGGTCTTTAAACTCATCCCACAACTTCTGCCTACTTGAAGCCCACTTCTTTGAAATAGAGTTATAAACATATCCTCGTGCAACTTCCTCAATGGTCATAAAACAGAAATGAGACTTCAAAACAAAATTTTGGTTAGTTTATCTTTTATATACAAATATAAAAACAAAAGACAAAATAGAGATATAGTTATAAAGATCTAGAACTTATACCTTTATAATGTTATTAAAGCAGTCGTTAAAGTATGACTTAGGCATATCCGGCCATTTATCAAAACCAATTGGAAATATGGTACAGTCAGTTGCTAAAAGGCCACATACGCCTGCTAGAAGGCCTTGTGCTTCGCCAATCGGATCCTTGCCATCAAACTCCACCACAACACGTTCTCCCTGAGGTAAACTTAATGCTTCTCTAGTCTTCAATTTCAGCCTTTTGGTATTTCCATGTGAATCTTTAATAAATAAAAATAAAAGCAAAAAAGTAAAGGTAAGAGCCTTTTGGTATATATATACAACTCTAATTGCATATATATAATCAACAAGTATAAGGAGATGAAGGCAGCATCTTCAAGTTCAAATATAAACAACTTGATTGAAGACCTAGAAGAACTCCACATTCTCCATATCATTTAGAAAGATTACCAGATAGGAAACATATAAGAAACATGAAGTAACCAAGTCCTAGCTTGTATCTAGCAAATAGTAACAGCCACACATAGTAGCAGATAGGTGAAGCAGCAACAGATGTACAAAAGTCCTATAGAAGATGCATTGGACAAGTGCAAATAGATCCACTCACACCCCATGGGCAAATAAATTCCCACAATTAGACTCTAAAGTCCTACACAACAACAGAAGGGTAATGATTACCTATTCCATCGACAGTCCAATGATGTGAAGACTCACGTTTAGGACGCTTATTGGATGTTGCTTGTGCTGGTGTGGGATTAATTGGAGGTTGAAATGAAGGAGTTGTCTGTGTTGTGGCCTGAAATGAAGGAGTTGTCTGTCCCGTGCCCTGAAATGAAGGAGTTGGCAGTGTTGTGGCTTGAAATGAAGTGGTTTGCTGTCTTGTAGGTTGAAATGAAGGAGTTGGTAGTGATGTCGCCTGAAAAGAAGGAGTCGGCTGAATGCAAGGAGTTGTTTGCCCCATGGCTTGAAATGAAAAAGCTTGCTGTCTTGGCTGTGTTGTGGCCTGAAATGAAGCGGTTTGCTGTCTTGTGGCTTGAAATGAAGGAGATGGTAGTGATGTTGCCTGACACGAAGGAGTTGGATGTGATGTAGTCGGGAATGAAGGAGCCAATAGTGATGTCATATCTGGTGCCGCATCAGTAGATTTTGAAGAAGACGCTGATTGAACTGACTTTTGTAAGTTCTTAAAACGTTCGGTCTTCGGCATATCTGCAATCAACAAAAAAATTAATAAGTAATAGAAAGTATAAAATACAAATACAAAATAAAGTACATATATATAAAAGAAAAATAAATAAACATACAAGGATACAAGAAAATTTACATGCCTATTCAGACATATGCTCATCTATTGCAATTTGGATATTCTCATAAGCATCATCAAAAAATTGTTCAAGTTCTTGTTGTTGGTATGGTTGATTCTCATATATTTCATTTTCATCGACCTCTCCCATATCAAATAAATCTCTCGGCTTTAAATGTACAGCCACACTCCATTCTTTATCCGTTTCATCATCAACATAGTAAACCATATTTGCTTGAGATGCTTCAATGTAAGGATCATGATCCTCACGATCACCAATATGAATCAATCTAGAAAAATTGACACAATTAAAATTCCAAGCATCTCTTTTGAACCCTCTATCCCGAGTAGTGTCGGCCCACTGGCATTTAAAGAGCACAACTGTGAATAGATAATAATTAAGCTCAATAATATCTTCTAACTTCCCATAGTATGGCAAGTCTGCTTGCCTTGCACTTCTATCAGCACTAGATGCAACACAAGAAGTGTTAGAAGTAAGAAAAACTCCACTATTTTGAGTTTTTAATCCTTGATCTCTAGACAAAACTCGAAATTTGAATCCATTGATGTTATAAGCACTGAACCTTCTAGCATCTGGCGCTGGACCTTGTGCTAGGTACTTCAGATCAGTAGAGATGGTGTCTGCAATCTCTGGGTTCATAATCTAATAATAACAAACTTATTTTAGTCAAGCATATTAAATCCAATGAGAAAAGCTATGTGAAGCAAAAATTATTATACCATTCACTCACCCGTTTTGGGAACCAATCAGGAAACTCTCTATTAACCCTCCTCTCCAAATCTGATGCTGAAGGTCTCCGTCCTCTTGTGCTCTTTCTTATGTAATCCCTAAACTCACTTCAAATAAGCTAACTATATCAATTTTAATTATTCTAATTCTAAACTTTTGCCAATATTCATATCAATTTTATTTACTTACTCAATAAATGGCTTCACTGCCGCACAATTAAATAACACATATCGATGAGCTTGCGTCTTCACCAATGGAGTCAAGGGGAACGTTGAGGAGCCTCCAACTGGTTTACCTTGCGGAGGGAAGATAGAGGACATTTCAGAAGCCTCATTAAGATTTGGTTCATCATTCACACGTCTAGGCCTATTAAGCCTTGACTCAATCCCCTCAAAGTAACGAGAACAAAAAGTTAGAGCTTCTTCAACAATGTAACCTTCAGCTATGGAACCTTCTGGTTGAGCCTTATTCCCTACGAGGGACTTAAAATGACCTAACAATCTATAACATAAAATGAAACATGTTTAGAATAAGCACTTAACTTGAATTAATATTACATACATCAAAATTTCGGATAAGAAATATTTTACCTTTCAACAAAATACATCCACCTGTAATGTACCGGACCACCTTGTATTGCTTCATCTACTAGATGGACAGTTAAATGGACCATTACAGTAAAGAACGATGGTGGGAATAATATCTCCATGTGGCAAAGTGTGAGCACAATGCGATCTTGTAACTTTTCTAGATCCGCCAAACTCAAACTTTTAAGACAAAGTTCTCTGAAAAAAGAGGAAAGCTCTACTAAGACTGCAACAACCTCCTTTGGCAGCACATTACGAATTGCTATTGGTAGCAATTGCTCCATAATAATGTGACAATCATGACTCTTTAATCCAAAGATTCTCCTTTGGTCCGGATCAATGCAACCAGAAATATTACTCGAGTAACCATCCGGCACTGAAATATTCTTTAAAGTTGTGAGGAAAGCCACTTTCTTTTCCTTTGGAATGGTAAACACAGCAAGCCGACACTCATCATTCTCATCGGGCCAAAGATCACGCCTTATACCCATATCTTGCAGATCTTTCCGCGCCTTAATATTATCTTTTGACTTGTCTTTATCATTGAGCAAAGAATATATAATATTGTCAAACACATTCTTTTCGATGTGCATGACGTCTAAATTATGGCGCAATGAGTTGAACTCCCAATATGGAAGATTAAAGAATATGCTTTTTTTCCTCCATTGTTGTGCTGCACCTTGCCCAATATTTCTTTGTCTAGCTCTTTTTCTTCTCTCACTCAACTCGGCCGGTTTTCCAAATGTAACATCAATATCTTTCACTTGTTGCAAAATATCAGATCCGGATAACTTTCTCGGTGGGTTTCTTTCTTCCACATTTCCATCAAAGCGATGTCTCATCAGTCTAAATTTATGATTTCTTGCTAAAAATCTACGATGACCAATAAAGCACCACTTTCTACTATGGCTAAGCCGACAAGGTTCTGCATCAAAATTACAAGTGGGACATGCTAAACCAGTATGTGAGTTCCAACCAGATAAGATATCGAGTCCAGGAAAGTCACTAATTGTCCACATAAGAGCAGCTCGCAACCTAAATCAAAAGTTTCGACACCTTCACTCCACAACTCATTCAACTCCTTAATAAGGGGTTGTAGGAAAACATCTATGTTGTTTCCCGCCGTACGTGGACCAGGAATGATCATTGAGAGAATAAAATTAGATTGTTTCATACACAACCAAGGAGGAAGGTTGTATGGAACTAAAATGACTGGCCAAACGCTATAATTAGTACTCATCGTGCCAAAAGGATTGAATCCATCACTAGCTAGGCCAAGCCGAACATTCCGGGGATCAACGGCAAATTCAGGAAAAGTTGTATCAAACCTCTTCCATGCCTCACCATCTATAGGATGCCTCATGATTCCATCTTTGTTACTATCTTCAGCATGCCATCTCATATATTTTGCTATTTTAGAGCACATGAACAATCTCTGCAACCTTGGTTTTAATGGAAAGTAACGCAAAATCTTTGCGGGCTTCTTAGTTTTTTTCTTGGTTTTCTTCTTACCTGTGGCAGACACAAGATCTTCATTTCTTCTCTTATCAGGCTTCCACCTAGAAGTGTGACAATACTTACATGTTTCCTCATTAGCATCATTCCCCCAAAATAACATACAATCATTTGGACAAGCATCTATCTTGATATAATCAAGACAAAGCTTGCTGATAGTTTTCTTGGCCTCATAAAAAGAATGAGGGATCCGTGCAAATGTAAATGCATCCCTCAACAAATCTAGTATCATGGTCATTCCCTTGTCACTTAGCCCAGACAAACATTTTATGTGATACAATTTTAATAAAAATTCTAGTTTTGAGTACTTGGACCCTTCAAACAATTCTTGACTTCCATCTCTAAGCAACTCAAAAAAGTCTTTATCATTTGAAGCAGGCTCATCATTTAACCTTTCTTCACCACCCGCTACTTGTGACGGACCTACATCAACCCCATCGTGCCTTAGGCCCCCAAATGCTTCATTAATCAATAATTCAACTGGATTTTCAGGAGGTAATGTATCTTGTATAACCACATTATTTATAGAATTAGGCAGTATATTTCTTTCACCGTGAATAGTCCAAGTGACATAATTTTGAGGGAATGGTTTGCAAATCAAATGTTCGAGTGCTACCTCTCTAGTCTGCCACTTTGCGAATCCACATTTAGGACAAGGACACTTTATTCTATCTCCAACAACAGCATTAGCAAATGCAAAATCTAAAAACTGATTTAAACCAATTAAATATTCCTTGGAGTTCCTTGGCTTTCTAGTCCAAGATTTATCCATAGAAAAGTATTAACTTTCAAGTCCAGCTGATGAACCTTTCAGAATATAAAGAGAAAATATCAGTTCTTTATTATTAGAATACAGAATATTAACTATTAGCAATTCTTTAAAAGTGAAAAACAAATTTCATAAAGTGATTTCTCAAAATCAAAGAAACTTTTTTTTTATTTGGATTGAGGTGATCTTAAATGAAGCAACATTCACAGTAAGGATACATAGCCAATTGGGATTGAGGCGCAGTAGTAATTGTTATTCTTTTACATTGGATGATTTTCTTAAATTTAACTTTTCTAAATCAGCTAATATGCACTTACTATTGTCTCCACTAACTTATCCTAAGTTCTTCGGTTTCCAGTTAAATATATTCTACTCTTACCTTTTTCTTTAAGTATGCACACAAAAAGCCTGATTTCAGAAAGAGTATTAATCAGTATAATTAGAACCATCCTAGACTACAAAATAGATATTCCTAAATGAGAACTCACATTTTTTCATACATTTTCAAATTTCATATCGTTGCTCTCTTATTTTTCTAAATAGAAAAAAAATCTGATATAAAGAAAATAGAATAAACAAAAAAGCTATATTGTAAAACAAGATTATCACAATAGAGAAAAAAAAAGAGAATAATTCATATTGAGTCAAAGAAGACGGGCAGTGGTAATGGGTAATGGAGAACTACCAAAAGCACAAATGGGTGAGCATTTCTTTATCAGGCTATGCTTGCAGCATAGGGATTACGTATTTTATTAATCTATATATGTTTTAGTAAGTATTTATGCTTTCAGTACACTAGTTTGTTTTCCATTATTAAAACTCTTGTAAACTCACTTTTGTAACCAATGGTTTAGATTGGTGAAACTAAACTCTAAACAATTTTAGTTGGCAAAACCAACTGTGAGGACATGAGAATAAGAATTTGGGTATTTTTGGTTTTGACACATATTGGTTATAGACTCTTAACTCATTATTATATGAAAGAAAACAATGTGAGACTAGATTGATCTCCACACATTTGGTGGAGACTCAACTCCACTGATCAGTATATATACAAGGCAGCAGAAAGTATTGGATTTCTGTTTAACTGCATCTATTGTTAAGAGGGGAAAAAAAAAGCTTCAACTTTCAATCTATAAAAAGCAACTCAAACGTCTATTCATTTAATTTTTCCAAGAAGATACTGCTCAAATAGTACTCCTAATCTACAAAAGATTGGATGCCTTCATATACAACTGATATTTCACGTATAAATTAGAAATCAAGGAAAAAAACACACAAAAAATCATACAGATCGACCATTTAATACACACAAAAATTCAATATCAAATACTATTTAATCACACAGATCGACCAAAATATACACAAAAATTCAAAATTAACAGAAAACCCATGAGGGAAAATAAGGAAAGAAAGAGAAAAATCAAACCTGGGAGGTGTAAAAGTGGTGGCGATTGAAGCGGAAAACTTCGATTGAAACAGACCTTTGATTGAAGCGGAGAACTTCAAAAAAGAAGCAGAGAACTTCGATTAATGGAGGTATAAAAATATTGAGCAGAGGACTTCGACTAATTAGCACGGTGACGGAACTTCGATTAAGAAGAAGAAGGAAAGGAGTATTTTGTTTGGGGGAAAAATGGAGTTTTTGGCGTATTTGACCAATTAAGAGTGTGAGGCGGAAATTTCTAGGGGGAAAAATTGGAGGGAGTGTTAAATAAAATACCCGCTATTATTTTTAGGGTTGCGGATGTTTTTGACCTCCATAAATTGTATAATTTTGTGGGGGCTAATGTTCTGCCGCAAAATTATGCAAATTGCGGAGGTTACTTATACCCTCCGCAAATAAACCTCCGCAATTTACCCGTTTTTTTGTAGTGAATCTTGCTAAGCATCTTCATTCTTTCCTTTTTGTTTGTCCTGAAAATATAACATAAAATAATATTGTCATCATTGAAACTTAAACGTAAACCTATCAATCTCCTCCTTTTTGACGATGACAATCAAGGAGTAAACAAATTTAATGTAAATTAAGATACTTCCCTTTTAAGGAGTTGCTCCCCCTGAGCTAGTGCTTCCCTTGAATTGTTCCTATGTTTTGAATGATATGCTCATGTCTCCCCCTGAGTGTTTACTCACATTTTTTCTCCCCATTTGACATCAATCAAAAAGGAAAGAGTAATATAATATACAGAAACACAGAGCAATATAATGTACATACTAAAAGGGGTTAGAGCAGTAGAGCCTTCAGCAGAGGCTTAAGTTAGTACAAACCCAAAAAATAATTGCCTAAAGGCCACCATCAAAAATAGCAAAAAAACTCAAGTTGTTTGTCACAAAAACAACCAGAGACAATTAATGACGTCCTAGAAAGTATTTGAGGGTGTTGATCACTTTGGTGCAAAAGGAGTCATAGGAGTTTTCAACATCCTTGACGAGCTTGTCCATCTTTTCAGCCATGGAAATGAAGGCCCTGGTTCCATGTCCTCCTTGTAGCTCCTATGTCTATCCGTAGCTTTGCTATGTCTGAACCTGTCTCCTTAGTGACATCTCTGATCTTATCTATCTGTTCTTTCATTCCCACAAGCAGCAGCTTGACTTCATCAAGGTGTTTTTGAATGTGTGGAAGGTTCTGGGAGGTAGTCGACTGAGGAACTGGTTGATCAGCTTGAACAACAACCGGAGCTGGAGCACTTTCAACCTTGGCCCGCTTAACCCATCCACTTTCACCTAATGAGTATACCATCATAGAAAATGTAGATTTATCATAAGTACTGGAGATGTGCTTGGGTGTGAAGGGTGCCAAGTCAACCTTCATAACTTCCAGGATATGAGAGATATAAGAATACCATAGGGCAGACAAGCAGCAGAAGAGGAAATATCCCTGATGCTCTCAAGCATATATTGACGAATCCATACAAACCAATCAAGACACTTGTTGTTGACCAGGCAGTAGAGGACAAAGATATCTCTAGTAGACAACGAACTTAGGGACCCAGACCTAGGAAGGAGAGTGGTGGCAATCATGTGGGCCAAAACACGGTGTTCAAACTTCAGATTTTTGGGGCCAATGTCAGGGGGGTTATCAGACAAGAAAATTTTTGCTTCTTCAAGAGACACTTTAAAGTCTTTGGGCCAAGAATTTTTTACCAACACATCATACCCACTAAATTTGGCAGAAAAGATCGTTTCAAATTGGTAGGAGTCCAACACAATTCTAGTTCCTAAGACCATAACTTCTAAGTCATCCTTATCAATCACAAACAGATTTGCATAAAACATTCTCACAGGTTCTTCATACACAGAATTTCCAAGAGTGTCAAACAGAGGGGAAAGGTGCTGAAAATCAAAAATTGCAATCACATCACAATGAAGACTTTGCATAAGAGAGAGACTTACAAAGCGTCCATAAGCCATGGATTTTGACTTATAGGACTCAAACCTTGCCTTTTCACTGGGGCCATAGAAGATCAACTTGTCTTCTGGACCAAAATCCAAGCGTTCTACTTTGCCCTTTTTGCATGAATCCTTTTTGGGGGTTTGCTCCATGGGTCGTTTTCCGCCCTTTTTCTAGCTGATGGCTTGATTTTCAGATGAGGCACTGCTATCATTGTCAGTTTTGAGAAGGTCTGAGTCAATGGATGATTCTACATCCACAGGTTCTTCTGTATTGAGAGGTTTTTCAAACCTACGGCTTCGTCTGGTTGCAGAGGAAGGGTTTTTTTTGGCCATGGAGAAATTGGTGGTTTGGTAGAGAATGAGGAGAGTATTTTGAAGTGAAAGGTTTTTAACAACAGATTTGAGATAAATGAAAGGGCGTCTTGGTTACTGGAAGGGTCAAGTACAGACGTAGGTGATAGTTCTAAATGACTGCAAGTAATAATTACATCTCCACAGTAAAATTAATTAGTAAACGGATAATTAAGGAGATAAAATATACTAAAAGCATGTAAAATAATTTAACCATTTTTAAAAAGTAATTGGTTTATAAATTTGGCAAAATGCCAATCCTTTTTCGAAGGACACAAAATCTTTCTTCTAAAAGAGGTTTAGTGAAAATATCAGTAAGTTGAGAATCAGTGCTAATGAACTCTAATGTAATATCACCTTTTGCAACATGATCATGAATAAAATGATGTTTAATTTCTATATGCTTTGCTATAGAATGATGCACACATTTTTTAGATAAGCAGATAGCACAGGTGTTGTCGCGAAAAATAGGAGTGGCAGTAAGACATAAATCATAGTCAAGGAGTTGATGCATGATCTATAAAACTTGTGTACAACAACTTCCAACAGCTAAGTATTCTGCCTCAGTTGTTGAAAGAGCAACACAATTTTGTTTCTTGATGTGCCAAGATACTAAGGCATTTCCCAGTAATTGACATGTCCCACTTGTAATGACCCGATCAGTCGATTTGAGCTCTAGCATGCCGTTCAGCAGTTTGAGGCCATGAGCAGCTTCAATTCAGGCATTATGACTTGTACGCGTGCTCGGAATTAAATTTCGGGAAGTTCGAAGTTGACTTGGAGAGGAAATTCTCATTTCGGAAGCTTTAAGTTGAGAGAATTGACTAGGATTGGATTTCAGAGTAAACGACCTCGGAATCGGGATCTGAAGGTTCCAGTAGGTTCGTATGATGAATTCGGACTTAGGCGTATGCCTGGATCGGGTTTTGGGTGACCCGGGAGTGTTTTGGCGCCTATTGTGTAAGTTAGCATTTTGGAAGCAATTTCATAAGTTTGGGTTGAAGTGCATTTCAGTGTTATCGATGTCCGTTTGGGATTTCGAGTCTGGGAGTAGCTCCGTATGGAGATTCTAGCGTTGGGAGCACGATCGGAAGTGAATTCGGATGTCTGTGGAGCATTTTGGAGCCATTTGGCTAAAGATAGAAATTTGAAGGTTTTTTTGAGTAGTTTGACCGGAGGTGGACTTTTTGATATCGGGGTCGGAATCCGATTCCGAAAGTTGGATTAGGTCCGTAATGTCGAATATGACTTGTGTG